TACAAGATTCTGTTCATATAGCATAAAGTTTAGTTCTAGAGTTTAGTTTTTCATCCCCTCTTCTTGTAACCCACTGACTCAGTGTGGATAGAGCTTCAGACTTTTTCTCTTTCTTTCCCAGGGCTCAGAGAAGGCTTCTGTCCTTTTTGGTTTTTTTAACAGATCCTGAATATGTCTCTCAAGGCCATCTTTGTGCAGACGTTCATGGAATACCGCTACCTTCCCATTGAAGTGCTACCTATTTATCTACTTGCATCTGCATGCTTTCAAACTGCTAAATTGGCAGGATCTGAGGCAACTAACGGAAGCTCATTCTGTCATGCGGTACTTGAGTCTCAAACTGCCAACCTTCTGGTTGACAAGCCTAGAGTCTTAACCACTAGGCTACCACTTCCTCTTTGTTTCAGGTTAGAACTTTTGAATTTACCAGCTAATGTTCTAGTATGTTTGAGATTATGTCCCAAGGTTGGCAACAGAGTTAACATTTCAAACTGGAAATAACAAGCAAGTTTCTTTAATCATCAATGTAAGAGTCAGACTGCCAACTCTTTCCAACTAACTTCTTGTCTTGGTTTTTCCATATCCTTTCATCTTGCTTGTAAAACTGACATTTTTTTTTCTAAATTTCTCCAGGGAAAGGATACATTTTCAAACCACATTGTCAACAAAATCTGATAGGAGACATTGTTTCGTGATGCCTTGCTTTGACATTTAACTGAAATATGTGGAGTAGAGGTGTAAACCAGAGAAGGGAGAATTGCACACACGGTCAATATTCTATCTAAGTATTTGGGTTCTTGATGCTCTCTGAGCATGATTGTTTGCTTGCAAAAATTTCACTACCCAAATTGGTAACATCCTCAATCTGATCAGTCAAGCTCAGAGAGCATCAAAGACCCCTCATTTAAACTCTGAGCTACAAATATTTCAACCCAACCTTTATTGGTAATTGGGTTGAAAGCAGTTGAATGAAATATACCGGTAGTTACTATGTTCACATACCATGCTACTCCCAATTAAGAATGATACCTGAGCATGCTGCGAATATTTTAAGACAATGCCTGAATTCCCACAAATTGACCTATCAGCTGCTAAATCCCATTTTAGCCAAATTCAGGGTGGTTTTTGTGATGTCTAAATCTAAAGGAGAGGGATGGCTGGAATCATATCCCAATTGTGCCTGAGTACTAGGCTTCAAGGAAAAGTCTAGCATTTTTGGAATTAACTTGGTTTAGGATGCTCACAGTTTCTCAATTGAAACTTGTTAACTCTGTCCATGTGTTGTGAAATGAAGGAGTTTTCATTGTATCTTCTGATGGCTACTTGATGTCCATAGATGTGCTTTGCTAGTCTTCTGCCTATTTGTCCTACATAGTGGCTATTACACTCTATGTTGTATGTTGTACATCAATCCTGTCCCATCCAGAGATGGGTTTCAGCAGGTTCTGACCATTTCTAGAGAACCGATAGCAAAAATCTTGAGTAGATTGGAGAACCAGTAGTAAAAATTCTGACTGACATCTATTCTCTGTCTCCCAAGTCCCAGTTGATCGGGAGAAAATGGGGATTTTGCAGTATCCTTCCCCTAGATTAGAGAGGGAATGGAGATTTTACAGTATCCTTCCCCTGCCACGCCCACCAAGCCATGACACGCCCACCAAGCCACACCCACAGAACCAGTAGTAAAAAAATTTGAAACCCACCACCGGTCCCATCCCCCCCCCATTTTTATTTTTATTTTATTTTTTTGCTATCCTTTTCACAGCTTCTGTTGCCTGTGGTGTAGAGGGTTGAATGTGGCCAGGCACTTTTTGAATAAAGTTGCGTAGCTATCCATTCTGCTGGAAGATGTTGTATACACGATCTGTTTCCTTTTCCTGATGTTTAGGGTTGCTGCAGTGTGTTTGTGCTCATCTAAACAATGTTTTACACAGCTTCACTTGTGGGAGGTTGGGTTGTTACTTTAAAACAACTTGTCCTTATGAACCGCTTTCAGGTTGGACACTTTTTCAGGTTTGTCCTTTTTTTTCCCAAGGAGATTTGGTCACTATAATAACAAGGGAAAGGCGTCCTAGGGGTCAAATCAGCTCTTCCTCTGAGGTCCTTCATTTCTGAGGAAACCTGGGATGACCATCAACTGAAAAAATCGGTCCAATGGCTGTTGCCATCCTCTTTGCCGGATACTGGTTCCTTCCTCCACACCAGTCCCCTGGGGAACTGGGAAGGATGGACACCCACACCCCACCCAAATCTGGCTAAATCCAAAGGAGAAGCCAAGAAAAACCAAGCTCAGGTGGGTGGCAGAAAGGCAGGATTGGAACAAAAAACCACTTTATTAAAGGTGTCAAAAGAAAGTGAGCTTCCATATACAGAATACACACTTTAAACATGCAAAAGCCAGTACAATTGTGGCTATACAATAGCAAAATCACAATTTCCTATTGTTCCTGAGGTAACTCCTCTTCCAGGAAGCCATTGATTCTTTTACCAAAGGCATTCTGAGGTTTTTCCCGCCAAAAACCAAACAGAATCCCGTTCTTTCCTCTTATTGGCTGATGAGGGGGTCAGGTGACTTCTTGTGTTGCTTCTCTAATTTCCAGTAAGGGAACTCAATCTGCATTTCTGCATGATATTTAGCCATGCTTCTGCTTTTAACCAAAGGAGTTGCATGAGTTTGCGAAAATGTTCATTAGCTCAGTTTAAGGTAGAGGGTATGCATTTGCATGCATGCCAAATTATAAAGCAATTCCAGAGAGATTTCTGAGGGGCCCATGAGATTGCTCAGGCCAGTTGATTCCTAACCCTTAATAAACATTAAGCACTTTTCATCTCCTTTCAAAATAACAGCTATTCTGTTAAGTGAGCTAGTCTTCTTTTTCCCATTATCTTAAGTGAAGACCTGATAATTTTTCTCTGTTAAAATGACTCCTATTCAAGGGATGGTCAGCAGACGTTTGTTAAAAGGCAATTCTAGAATGTTTTTTTTCGCATCTTTTTCAGATCCATCCCAACATTATCTCCGTTGTACAATTGTATAATATTAAACAGCAAATTCTTTTTGTTGTTGTTCTTGTTGTAAGCTTGGAAGTTCTATTAGTTTGCTGCTGGTCTTCTAGTAGTTTCTTTAAAGAAAAAATATTTGGAGCAACATTTCTTGTTACTAGCTTCTTCTATCTATCTTCCTTCATCATATACAGCCTTTCTTGCAAAGAATTCGATGAAACCACCTTCCATCACCATGGATTGAGCTATCACCAGGGGTGAAATCCAGCAGGTTCTGGCAGGTTCTGCAGAACCGGTAGCGGAAAGCTTGAGTAGTCGGAGAACTGGCAAATACCACCTCTGGCTGGCCCCAGAGTGGGGTGGGAATGGAGATTTTGCAGTATCTTTCCCTGCCATGCCCACCAAGCCATGCCCACAGAACTGGTAGTAAAAAAAATTGGATTTCACCACTGTGTATCACCAATATGCTGATGATACTCAGCTGTATGTCTCGGCCTGTGATGTGTTAAGTGATGCCGTGTCCTCCCTCTCGCAGTGCCTAGAGGCTGTTAGGGGCTGGATGGGGAGCAACTGGTTGAAACTAAACCGTTGCAAGACCGAGTGGCTCTGGGTTTGGGGTTCATTGGCTCAGGGAAAATTGCTACCTTTGTTCTTGGATGGAGTGGCACTACCCCAAACAGAACCTGTGTGTAATCTAGGGGTTTTCCTGGACTCACAACGCCTGCTCAAAGAGCAGGAAGTCATGGCCAGGAGGGCATTTGCACAGCTGTGGGTTGTGCACCAGTTATGCCCTTTCCTGGACTGACAGTCCCTACTCACAGTCATTGTACCCTAGTCACTTCTCGTCTTGAATATTGCAACACACTCTACATGGGGCTGCCCTTGGAGAGCATCCGGAAACTTCAGTTGGTGCAAAATTCCTATTATTTTGGTTCTTTTGTTTTGAATATTTACCCCGTCCAGAGTGTTACATTGGGCAACTTTCTAAATTCAATAAATAAATACCTTATATTATTTTAAAAGCCTGCATCACCTGGGGAAACTTATGGAATAGAAAATATTAAGGACATTTCTCTTATGAAAACCGTTGTTATTTTCCAGGGAATGCGCATTATGAACAATGGACATTAGGGAAAATGAGTAGACTGTGAGACGTAGCAAAGTGATTAAACAACTCAGGGTTTAAATTAGCAAAGATATTTGTGCTTGAAATCAAGGAACAAAGTTGAATTGCACTGGAGTTCAGAATCAAGGTCTTATTGGCCAGAAGGGACCAATCGAAGAGAAAGATCAAGAGTTCTAAAGTAACTATTATGGGTTGAACTCAAAAAACTTGTAAGTTTGAACTCTTACCAAGAGTTGTTCTGTTCTGTGTCTTAAATGCAATAAATTCTCAGTATATCTCATTTAATTTTAATTTCAAAAGCCAAGCTATTATGGAGTAAGAGTCTACCAACTTCCTAGTAGGTAAATTCCCAGTGACAGCTGGCAGACAATCGAAGACTTTGGTAGCATCGCTTAATTAACTAATGGGCTTCATAGAAACATAATGGAATTTGAAAAGAAAAAGCTTTTAAGCAAGATTCAAAGCCAGCAGCTTCTGTAATAGTAAAACTCCTACAACCTCCCTTCTTCCTTCTGAGATTCACAAGTCAGTGCTGGAAAATCCAACACTCTTAGGTTGTTTGTATGCAATGTTGGTGTTCCACCTAGTGCTTCTGAGCTGCAACTGTATCCGATATCAGCCTAAAATTATTACCATTTTTTTAAAAAAAGAAAAAAAAAATGCCTTTCTTCTTCAGAGAACTGAAGAAGCTTTTAGAATGAGAAGAGAAACATCTTCAAGGAAAAACAAAGAAAGCCCAGTTGCCTCTTGAAAAGCACCTTTGGGACATCACCAGGCCACCAAAAATCTAAACACCACCACCAACAATTAAGTTAGTAAAGTTTGTAACTCAAGAAAACATGCTATATAATATCAAAAGTAAGTAAATAGATAAGAGCAGAGAAGATGTTCTTGTTTTGATAACTTCATTATCTAAGCCGATTTATCTTCATTTATCTCAGCTACACCAGCTGAGACAAAAGGCACAGTTGGTTTCTTTACAATTTTTTTTAGATTAACAAGCAAGATTGGAAAAAAGTATCTTCATCATCCTTATTTAATTGATGGAGAGTGGAAATGCCCAGGTAACAGTCGGTAATTGGTATACCTTCCCAGATGATCTCACAATCCAAAGAAGAAGGGGTCAACCTATTGTCCAAAGAACCCGAAATCAGGACAAGAAGCAATGGATTGAAACTCATGAAGGGAAGATCCAACCTAAAAATAAGGAGAAATTAATTTAATCCGTGGAACGACTTGCCTCCAGAAGCTGTGGCTGCTCCAACACTGGGAGCTTTTAAGAAGAGATTGGACAACCATTTGTCTGAAATGGTATAGAGTTCCCTGCCTGAGTAGGGGGTTGGGCTAGAAGACCTCCACGGTCCCTTCCAACTCTGTTATTCTTTATGTTTTAGTATAATTCTGTTAGTTGAAAGTTCCTGCAAGTTAAATAAACTATGGCCCTAAACTCATTAGATACTAATTTCTGTCTTCCTTCTAGTCTAGATCTCCATGGATCGGTGGGGGCAAACATCTTGTCTATGGATTGTAGAAATTAAGAGATCCTACTGATATCAAGGCAGCTTAATAGAACGTTGGAGTCATTCTTCTCAACTATGAGATCACTGTTGAAACAACCGAGGAACTTCTAGATTTTTCTGTGTGGAGTTGGAGCAGCAAACAGGTGCCATGCTGCCTTTTGCCCCACCTAAGAAAACTCCCAAACTTGACTTGAATCCCCGTGCAGATGCCATTCGCTCGAAGCTGATCTATACATTTTACCTGATTGATCACTTTGAGGGGCTGAGCCATGCAGTGCCACGGTATAACATACAAGATTTTCTGGATTCCAAGAAGCGAAAGAAACTGATGCTCATGGATCACCACCAATTGGTTCGCTTCCATGTCGTGCCCACCCGGAACATCATGGTGACTCAAGAGAAACGCTGGCGCAACCGTATCGAGGTGCGTTGCAGCCGTTGGCCCCCTTTTAAGATGTGGGTGTCTTCAGTTCTGAACAGCCAAACATTCAAAGGCTTTATCATCTTTCTTATCTTCTTGAACATGGTAGTCCTCATGATCTCAACGGAGATCATGGGGAAGAGGGGAATCACCTATGTGAAAATTACCAGGGTCCTGGAGGTGATCATTTGGATCATTTTACAGATCTTTGTGACGGAGATTGGGTTGCATTGGTTTGTGAGCTTTCAGAGATACTGGAAAAATCCCTGGAATATCTTTGATTTCATAGTGACCATCATCTCCATTATACCAGAAGTCATATATCCATTTAAGAAGTACCAGAGTGTGACAACTCACCGACTTCTGCTGTTAAGCCGTGTACTGCGTTGCCTAAAGCTCTTTCCTAGAGTCCGACAAGTCCGAGTTCTCATCATGGCTATTGCCAAAGCCCTGAAAGCGATGGCCTTAATTTTGGTTCTCCTTGCCTTCCTCTTCTATGTCTTTGCTTTGTCGGGCATCTACTTTTTTGAGAGTTACACCCAATCAAGCAGGATGGACCTGACTTACAATATGTATTTCATGGACATGCCCAATGCTCTAGTAACCATCTTCATTCTTTTCACCATGGACCACTGGTACGCTCTGTTACAAGATTCATGGAAAGTCCCAGAGATAAACAAGATGATCAGTGGTATATTTATCTGCCTATGGCTTCTGATTGGGGCGTTTATTTTTAGGAATCTCTTTGTTGCCATTATGGTCACCAATTTCCAGAACATCCGAAGTGACCTAAGTGAAGAGGTGAGACAGATAGAGACTCAGACGCAGGCTGACAAATTCAAAATGGAGATCATGGAAAAGAGATTCAGCCAGATTCAAACATCTATGGACAAAGACATTACATTCAGAGAAAGGTTCACCATGGACCCCGCATTAATTCAAACTGCGGACAATCCAGATTTCACCTCTGATGAAATGTCTCCTGGAATTTTGGATTGGGAGACTTACATCCACAAGAACCTACCAGGACTCTATGCTGCTGATGAAGATGAACAGGTGCTTTGGCCACGTGACTCCCTCTTCCACTACTTTGAGTTGTTGGAGAAGTTGCAGTATAACTTAGAGGAACGCAAGGAACTTCAGCAATACATGGTGCTGGCTCTTTCCAACCTTGAGGACAAGTAACATGGACCATGCAAGTTTTGGGAGAGAAAAGCCAAAGCAAATGAAACTTATGGCTTTGTACTCTCTCCCCTTCCCTCCTCCATCCAAAGGTCTCTAGATAAGACACAAGAATACTATTAAAATATATTATATATCACCATTTTAGCCGTTGTCTATCCATTGCAGAATGAGGGCCTCTTTCGCAGGTTTCCAACCAATATGGTCTTGTGGGGTTTTTTTGCCAATTAGGCCCACAATACTTGCTGATGCCATCACTCCATCTTGTTTTCGTGGACACTTTTTATCAAGTGGGATCCATTCTGTGAGTGCTTTGCTCCACCTGCCATCAGTTGTTCTTGTTATATGACCAGCCTATTTCCATTGCAATTCTTTTACTCTTTTGGTGATATCATATACTTTTTTTTTGTAAACAAGTTTTATTAAAATTTTTCTTTCATCATACATATTTTATGAACAGAGTGTTGACTGGGTCACATTTTATACATTTTATAATCTATTCCAATCTTCCTGCTTTTTCCATATTCATCCCTTTTATATAATTCTTTATCACAAATTCATCATTTTTCATCATATCTTATTATTTCAACCTCTATCTTATTGTTCTCCCCTCCCCCCCCATATACGTTTTTACATATTTCCTATTTTGGCCCTAATATTCTTTTTCCATACTTCTTTATCTTATCTTTATCTCTTCTTAATACATAATACATAAACAGTATCACTATCCGCCTTGTAATTCCTAATTTCTTACAATAGCATCAATTAATTATCTTATTTCTCCATTTACAGAATATATTTCTCAAAATCCCCATCCCAGTTTTTAACTATAAGCAATATACATCATCATATTCAATTCTTACATTGAAACCCTTTAACTTAATTGACCATGCACATTTTATCTTAATCTCTTCTTAATACCTAATACATAAACAATATCACTATCCACCCTTAATTCCTAATTTCTTACAATAACATCAATTAATTATCTTATTTCTTCATTTGCAGAATATATTTTTTCAAAATCCCATCTCACTTCTTAACATTTCAATTTTATGTCTTAATTTAACTTGTCTTCATAATTAATCCAAATTGCCATTTCATATTTCATCTGCTATTCTGTTTTACTATAAGCAATATACATCATCATATTCACTTCTTACATTAAAAAACTTTAACTTAATTGACCATCCACAATTAATAATATTAATACAATTCCCTTAAGTCTACTAATATATATCTTATTTCCCTTCCTCCTTTACACTGTTCTTTCCCTCTTTAACCATTTTCTCTTGGTCTCTCCAAAATTTCACTTCTTAATAATTTTCTCCTTTTATCCCATTCTCTTGTTTCAAATAATTAAATATTTTTCTCCTCTTTTGTGGTGAATTTAGGCCATTAACATTCCAAGTCAAAAATCTAGTTGCCATTCTTGGCTCCCTGAAGCTTTTGGAGCATCTGCTGGAAATCTCCATGCATTTTGCTTTTGGGCCTTGCTCCTCCCACCGCTTCTGTTTTTGTAGTTTCTTGAGTCATCTGGAGTTGCTGCACTCTTAATTATTCTTGATGCTTGGCTGCCGCTTGGGTCTGTCTTTGATCCTTAGGTTCTTCTATTTTTTCAGTTACCTCCAAAGCTTGAGCAATAGTCGAAAGTTGTATTAAATCTGCTTGAGTAATCAAAGCTCCCCTTTGGGCCTGTGCCAAAGATTTTTCCTTCTCCCCCTTTCTTGCCCCTTCTGCTTCCGTTTTCCTTCTAGCTTCTGAGGACTGTGGGCATCCAGCCTTTAGTACATTGGTGTAAAAATTTCTTGCCTTCCACACTGAGTTAAGAGGATATCTATCTCCTGAATAGTTCACCACTAATCCAGCTGGAATCTTCCATCTGTACTGTATCTGACAGTTTCTCAGTTCTTCCACCAGAAAGGTGTAATCCCTTCTGGCTCTCAACATTTTGGGGGGGATTTCTTTCAGTATTAAAACCTCCTGCCCCTGCACTTGAAGTTTATTCTTGAAAGTAACTTGTAGGATTTCATTGCGTATTCTCCTTGTTGTAAAATAGACTACAATGTCTCTTGGTAGATGTTTCTGTCTGGCAACCCATGAATTGACACGGTAAATTTTGTCAATTTGCCAATCAAGATTTGCTGTTTGATCTCCCATTATCTGTGCAAATGCTTCTGAAAAAATCTCTCTCAAATTCTCTTGCTTGTTTTCTTTGAGGCCTCTTGTTCTCAAAGCAAATTCCATATCTCTATATTGTATCATTATCACATCAGCCTCTGCTCTTTCCATCTTATTCTGGACCTCTCCTATTTTATTTTCCAAATTCTCATTAGACTGCTTAATTTCTTCCACTTTTTCATCTATTACTTCAATATGGCCTGCCAGACCTTGGACTGCCATGACAATGTCTTCTCTAATTTCCTGATTTCGTTTTTGAATGAACTCTTTAATTTGAGCCATCTCCTCAGCCACATCTCAGATTTTATCCTCAAACACCGAAGTGATTTTTTTTTTTTTTTGTAACAGAGGCTTGTGTTTTAAGGGCTTCCTGCAACATTTCAAGTGTTAATATTGGTGGTTCCGTTGGAACAGAGAGAGATTGCAATTTAGACGTTTGAGCTGGCGAGTCCCAGCACTTTTAGGGACAATAGTTTTTATTTGTTTTGAAGCCATTTTTAATTTCCAGTTTGAATTTATTCAGCAACCTGAGCAAATCCACCAGATCCAAAAATTTCCAAACTTTAAATAATATCAATCCTTTTTTTAAAAAAACAAAACAAAAAAACAGTGCTATAGTCTTTTTAACCTTTAATCTTCTTTCTTTCAAAGCAAAGATCTCTAATTTTAGATAGGGGGTTATCAGCGCTAAACAAAACTTTCCTTTTTAACTTTCACTTTCACGCCCCATTAAAGCTCATTCGCCATCTTGGTTTCACTTGCCCCCCTTGGTAACTCAGAAGGAAGTAATACACATTTGGAGTTAAAGTTTGATACTTGTAAATCTGATCTCTCCTGAGTTTGCTCAGCCTGCTTCCAAATCCAATGTTTTATTCAAAGCGTTGTTTGCAGGGGTGGTCATGGCGTCTTCTTCTGCTTAAAGCAGAAACGCCCCGGATCCGGAGCTCTGTCGGGCTTAAAACCAGGCAGCTCTCACCCTTCAAGCCCCAGAATTGTTCCTGGGGCACTTGGGGAGCTCTACCTGTACCCGTCTGCTCTCTTCCTCCTCTTTTCCCAGGGAGAAAGTTTCCAAGCTGCTAGACAGCTGATTTGCGCTGTTCTAGCGGCTTTACGAGATCGCGGGACTGGCGCTCACAAAAGAAGCGTCTTCGGCGCCTACGGTGCCACCGGAAGTCCCTTTTATCCCATTCTCTTAACTTCTTCTTTTTCTTTTTTCTTTTCCTTTTATATTTATTATATCTTTTTCTCACTTTTAGATATATTATTTGAGTAATTCTCACCAAGTT